TTCTGATGTTAGAGATTTAAAGTAAGAAGATATCTCATAATTAATCCTGGAAATTATTTGAAAGTAACATTAGTTGTTGTGACATTAGGGATTTAAAGTAAGAAGATATCTCATAATTAATACTGGAAATTGTTTGAAAGTAACATTAGTTGTTGTGACATTAGGGATTTAAAGTAAGAAGATATCTCATAATTAATCCTGGAAATTGTTTGAAAGTAACATTAGTTGTTGTGACATTAGGGATTTAAAGTAAGAAGATATCTCATAATTAATCCTGGAAATTATTTGAAAGTAACATTAGTTTTTGTGACATTAGGGATTTAAAGTAAGAAGATATCTCATAATTAATCCTGGAAATTGTTTCAAAGTAACATTAGTTGTTCTGATATTAGGGATTTAAAGTAAGATATTTGTGTTGGTGTTATTAGACCCTTCAAATGAATTTATAATTTCATTAAATAAAGTAATTTATGATATATTTATTATTAACTATTTTGCATCATGTATTTTAATGTTAGATGTAAATACTGGTGTGAACATCTGTTGTGGAAGTCAGTTTCCAGATTATCAAGATTTAAAACAAGAAGATATCTGTACAGAAGTCATGAAATCTGAAAATCCAAACAATGATGTTTGTGGAAAATTAAGCTTTAATGGAAATAACCTAAAACAACATAAGAGGATGCACACTGTAGAGAAACGTTACAGTTGTACAGTTTGTGAAAAACATTTTGGAACAAATAGTGCATTAAAACTGCACCAGAGAATACATACTGGAGAAGAACCTTATAGTTGTGCAGTTTGTGAAACAAAATTTCGAAGTAACTGTTACTTAAAAATACATCAAAGAATACATGTTGTAGAGAAACCTTACACTTGTGCAGTTTGTGGAAAACAATGTTGGAAAAACAATGAATTAAAAATACATCAGAGAATACATACTGGGGAGAAACCTTACCCTTGTGCAGTTTGTGGAAAACAATTTGTAAGTAACTGTAACTTAAAAAAACATCAGAGAACACATACAGGAGAGAAATCGTACAGTTGTGAAGTTTGTGGAAAACAATTTGGAAGTAGCTCTTACTTAAAAATACATCAACGAATCCACACTGGAGAGAAACCATACAGTTGCGAAGTTTGTAGAAAACAATTTGGAAGTAACTCCTATTTAAAAATACATCAAAAAATACACACTGGAGAGAAACCTTACAGTTGTGCAGTTTGTGGAAAACAGTTCATAAGAAATGGTGATTTGAAAGTGCATCAGAGAATACATACTGGGGAGAGACCATACAGTTGTGCAGTTTGTGGAAAATATTTTGTAACTAGTAGATCCCTTAAAATTCATCAAAGAATACACACTGGTGAAAAACCTTACTGTTGTGCAACTTGTGGAAAAGACTTTGGAACAAATACTGAATTAAAAGTGCATCAAAGAAGACATACTGAGGAGAAGCCGTACAGTTGTA